TTGTTTATAAGAAAATATATTTATTTCATTCTCATTCTTAAAAAAAAAAGCTTCATTGGGTGTTCTAGTAAATAGTTATTTTCTCCTAGCACTTTGAAGATAACTGTCTTCTGACTTCAATTGTTGCTGTTGAGAAATCTGCTGTCAGTCTAATTGTTGATATCTTTTCCAGCTGCTTTTGTAACATGGCGATTGCCTTTGGTATTCTGCAGTTTCATTTTAGTGCATTTAGATGTAGAAAACTTTATTTCTTTTACTTCGGAGATAGTGTTTTCTGCATCTTTGGATTGGTGTCTTTCTTTAGTTCTAGAAAAATCTTGGCCATTATATCTCAAAATTGCATCTCCTCCATTCTCTATTCTCTCTTTCTATTACTTCTTTTGGACTTGTATTCAACCTTCTTATTCTGTGCTCCATGCCTCTGAATAGCCTGTAATATTTTCCATGTTTCTCTCTCTCTCTCTCTCTCTTTCCCTCTTTCTCTTTCTCTCTTTCCCCTCTACATTCTGATCACTTTTTTCATAATGCTTATGAGGTCAGTAATTCTCTCTGCAGCTATGTACATCTGTGGTTTAACCCATCCATTGAGTTTTTAATTTTAATAGTTTTATATTGTTGCTTTTGTTTTCCTAAAAGCTCTCTTTGGCTACTTTGCAAATCCTTCTGGTCATTTTTTGAAAGTCTCTCTTTGTTTATTAATTTTTTAACTCCATATTTTATTACATGAAATATTTTTATATATAATATTTTATATCTGAGAGTACTAAATATTTGGTAATTGAGGGTGTGATTCTGTTGTTTATTATCTCTGCTAATTCTTATTTATGTTGTTTTGTTTTTTGTGTTTTGAGAAATTTTTGTGAGAGCTTATATTTGATTCAATTTAATTTATAGCAATATTGAGGGCTTAAATTGAGAGCTTTCCTCCAGAGAAGATTTCCATTATTGTGTCCTAGAGCTTGGGTGCAGGATTGACTTGGGACTGCTTTAGCAACCTCCAGGGATCTTGGCTTACTGTGTAAAACTCAGGTTCAGCTACCCATCATGAGAGGGATGTGGTGCTCAGTCTGACTCCAGAGTCTTAGCAGAAACTGCTCCTGGGGCAACCCTGACTTGTGTATGTGCTTGCCACTTAGTATTTTGATTTTATCTATATTCCCTCCCTCCCTCTCTCTGTCCCTCCCTTCCTTCCTTCCTTCTGTGTGTGTGTATGTATATACTTTGTTGGGACATTTTGTTTACTTTTTTGGTGGTCAGAAATGCATTATAAGGTTTGTTTATTGTATTTATTCAGGATCTTGATGTATTGTAGCGGGACCTTGCAGAATATGGGCTAGATGCAAAAAAAAAAGTGACCTCTGTATGGTGTGCCCCAGTTTCTCATCTCCTTTCAGTTATAGCTAACTTGTGCCTGAGTCACTGAGCTTTGGAACTACCCTACTCTTGATTTATGGGGTATAATGGTGCCCTCATGTCCAGCATTTCATGTTCTACCTTATGGTCTTCTTTTATTGGACTGATCACTCAAAGGTCATTGGCCAGAGGTGTGTCTTCAAAATATAGCATTGTATAGGTAAATGAATATTTTTAAAGAAACAAATTGGACCCCATATTTGGGTATTCATTTCTTTTATTTTTATTTATTTATTAATTTTTTTTTTTTGAGACAATCTTGCTCTGTTGCCTGGGCTAGAGTGCCATGGCATCAGCCTAGCTCATAACAACCTCAAACTCCTGGGCTCAGGCAATCCTACTGCCTCAGCCTCCTGAGTAGCTGGGACTACAGGCATGCACCACCATGCCCGGCTAATCTTTTTTATATATATATTTTTAGTTGTCCAGCCAATTTCTTTCTATTTTTAGTAGAGACAGGATCTCACTCTTGCTCAGGCTGGTCTTGAACTCCTGACCTTGAGCGATCCTCTAGCCTCAGCCTCCCAGAGTGCTAGAATTACAGGCCTGAGCCACCACGCCTGGCCCATTTCCTTTAAAAGATATATTTTCAGCTAACATATATCATTTACATGATTTCTTTAAAAGAAAAAAAAACTATTACCATTAAAATATTTTTATTCCTTCCACTTGGATATAATGTTGCCATCATTTGCTTCTTGCAAATCAGGATTGCGCCTTATTTTCCTTTTTATATCTAGTTATACCTACCATGTAATAAGCTTCTCTGGAATTGAACTACATTTTCCAGTTGGTTTTACAGAGATCTGGGTGTGGTATCTAGGGATGTTCCTTCAGATAGCATTTGAAATTTCCTGATAGGTCAGTCTTTAATTAGTAGAGCAAGTTATTTGGTTCAAGTTAGAGATTTAAATCATGGACTTCAGGGATACTTTCTGAAAATGGATTCCTCGTCCTAGTTCTAATCTCCGGTACCACATCTCCTTTCATATTATTGTGGAGCAGCTGCTGTAATTACATGAGAGAGTCTCACAAGGATAGAAAGTGGAGATAGAACTGGGTTTTATTTGGCATTAATTAAAGCAGTCTTTAGTGCTTTTGCCTCATCTGGATGGGGAGACTATTGAAAGAAATGTGTAAGGCACTCAGCATTTCCCAATGAATGGTGATAAGGGGGTCTTTGAATGGGAAACATTTCCTAAATTTTTCTCTTTTAAAAAATAACCTTTCAAAACATCTCAAAATTTCTTGGGGCAATTACAGAGGCTTTTGGATCAACAAAATAGCAACAGAGTACCTTGTAGAAGATTACGTATCTGTTCATGGCCCAGGTGCATAAGGACAGGCCAATGAAGAACATGTCACCTGCCTTTTATTTGCACTTAACAGACTGCTCTATTTTTAATCTTGCTTAGTGTTCTGATGTCCTTGATTGTGCACCAGAAGAAAACTTGATGAGAATTATGTAGTCCACCTGCCTTAATTTCACAAATGAGAGAAAGAGAGAACTTACCTGGAGAATCTCATCTCTTCTCCAATGAAAGAGGATAAGTAATCCCTGACTGGTTGAAGTGTGATGTTGAGTGGGTGAATAGCAAAGGGAATATGGGATCTGGGGAGTCAATTTCCTGCTTCCTAAAACTCAGCACATAGGACATATCTGTTAAACACAAAGAAGTCCTCTGCTGGTTACCTGCTGGGGACATGCAAGGCAAGAATGACCAAAATCCATATGTTTAGGAAGATTCCTGAAAAAGCCATCTCCTCCAGACTTCTAAGACCCTAATAAGAAAAAGGAAAAAAACAAAAAAACAAAAAACAAGAGCTGTAGCAGGTGAAATTACTTAGACTATAAATGATTTTTACAAGCTTGAGAATATACAAAATACAGCAAGAAGGATGTTTCTTGGGAGTATGGCCTGAAGGAATTAGGACAAGTGCCAGATGTGGGCTGCCCTCTGCGCTGACTTCCTACCCTGTACTTCCTTTAGGGAACCATATCTCAAACTCTCTATCTGAAAATCTTACCTTTGGGAAGGATGCAGTTAACTCCTTCATGCCAGGTATAAATGACTAATAAGGCTCCTGGGTTTTCTTTTCCTGGCCTTTAAGTGGAGATAATGGTCAAGTCAATGGAATGCAGCTCTTGTTGTGTAATAACAAGTGTATCTACTGGGTGGCAGAAGTTGCCTTTGAGGAAGGGGTGGGGAGTGCTGGGTGCTTTTTAGAGTTGTAATGCTTTTCCCGTGGTGCTGGCAGCATCAGCAGCTGTTGTGCTGGTGATGAAATAGATGAAACTCAGGGTGGACTTCATCCAGCTTTCTTGAAGGGGCTTTATATACAGAGCAGAGAACCTGTATAATTCATCTCTGTATCATTCCTTTTTAACTCAATGCCTGGTGCGAGGTAGGAGCTCTGTAAGTATTGGCTGTTGAGTGGATGTCAGCCCAGGACCCATCAACGGGGCCAGGGTACCTGGGAAGGAAGAAGAAAGAGACACACAGGCAGGTACCCAGCCTGGAAGGGCTGGGAAGTGGAACACTAACATTGTCCAACTCTTTCTTTTGCCATCTTCTCAGTTCTTCTTGATACCGATTTTCCTTTTGTGGAAAAAAGCGACTTTCTTGTTTCTCATTTTTTTTTTCTTCTTGCTCCCTGAGACTTCTGCTTCTGCAGACTCCGAGGCCCTCACCTTTGGTCTAAGAGCCTGGGTACTGCAGGCCTCTGCTCCAATTTAGTGAATGCGGGTCCTTCTTTCCTGTATGCCCCTGGGAGGCCAATTGGACCAGGACTCCAAGTGGCAGCTCTTCTCCCTCCACGTCTCAAGACAAGACCATGCCTTTCTCTGCCTTGGATTTACTCAGGACACAGCCATCAGGCTCTTGCTGAGGACAGTTTGTGCCGCTCCATTGAACTGTCCCCCAGCCCCTGCTACCGAAATGACAAATTTCTGGATGTATTCCATTTGTATTATTCTGGGGGAAAAAAATCTTTAAATGACTTTTGAAGGGTAAGAGAAAGGGAAAAGTCACTGTTTTAATTTGGACATCAGAGTGGTTTGGCTCAGGTCCTGTAGCCATACCATAATGAGTCTTTATTTAGGCAAACATCCACAGAGTAATTAATCAAGGGGGTCAGAAGTTACTCATCCATCTTAGGTACATGACAAGTTCTGTTTCATACCTGGAGGTAAAGTTCATGATGCTTGTTCACAATCAAAGATTTCTACACCTGAAAGAGGGTGTTAGGCCTGGTCCCACCGAGTGATAGCAGAGCTGGATTGAGTGATTCTCCGTGACTGGGGAGAGGAGTATGGACTGCATTCTTCTTCCCTGTTCCTGAAGACACTAAAAATTGGTATCTATTCCATCTATGTCCCATCAGATCTTTCTACTTGGGGACAAAAGGATGCTGTATAAAATATGGGTTTTTCTTATACCTGGTTTGTGGCTAGGGAAGATTATTGAGCCTAAGGACCTCTTTATGACTTGTCCCCAGCCTAAAACCTTCTACTTACTTAAAAGCCTTTTATCCCAAATGTCTACAATATCAGTCATAATGATACCTTTTCATGTTCATTTGTTTAGATATGCCACACTTCTGCCTGCCGTTGGCAACCCTCCTGGAGTAGGCCGCTCTTGTTAATCACGTGGATGTTGTGAGTATTATGTTCACAAGTGGATGTAGAGAAGGTATTTTGATTGAACTCTAAATCCTCACCACATGAGCTACTCAAGCTTAGCAAAAATATACTAAACAGTTGTGATCTGGAGTCTCATTAATCTCAGGGATTACGCCGCTTGTTCCTCGGTTAAGCACCATGGTTTCGGTATCTTCCTCTACTCATATCAGCTTTTTATGAAAGCTTTGGATGCGAAGCTATGCCTTAGAATGTTTGGGCATAAAGGTAGTTGTTGATCTTAATTTGCAATCATGAATTCATTTCATCTCATACGCTTTTATGTTATAGCTTCCTTAATGTCGTCAACATGAAAGTGCTTCAGACGGCTTTGAGTCCTAATCTTGTGGTTCTGTTCACTGAAGATAAGCAGCAATTTCTTGTTTTATTTTATTTTTCTGTGAGTCACTAACGGGTCTAAATAACCTCCTTAGTTTTACTGGCAGGACCAAGTGAAGAGAGAAAAGATGAGAAAGAAGGAGGAAAAAGAAACAAAGTAAGAAAGAATGAGCAAGTTTGAGAAAGATAAAGAGAAGGAAGAGAAGCCTTTGGTGATCTAGGCTGCTTACTACTTCAGGGCTGCAAATCTCCTGCATGATGATTTATGTGCCCAGAGTTGGGAAGGGTCCATCTTCAGGCCCCCTGAAGAAATTATACAGTGTGACAGTCACTTCTCTCCTACCTAAGTTTGATGATCAAAGGATGGGAAAGGGCCCAGGGTGACCAGAGAGCTGGAAATTCCTGAGTCTTAAGTCATGATGAGTGACACAGAAAATTTCCCAGCATAGGCCAAAGGACATCTGACCAGCAAAGTCTCGGAGAAAAGAGCTAAAAACAGAATGAGAGGCCAGAAAGAATTGATGATGAAAGTGCTTCTTTCAAAGAGAGAAACATTTCAGAAAAGTCTATAGAACCACAGAATCTTAGAGTAGACAGCATCCTCAGAAATTTTAGTCCCTCTGCTTTAGAGATGGGGAAACTGAGACCAAGACAGGGGAAGTGACATGCCCAAAGACACACAGTGAGGGGCTGAGTGAAGCCACGCATCATGAGTCCTTTCCCTACTGTTATGCTGCCTTTTTAAGAAACAGTCTTAGGCAAATCAGGGCTGTGTTACGTAGACTCAACTGAAATAGGGCAAATAAGAGTTTATTTTGTTGAATGCTCAAAGAAGAGCTGTGCCCAGAATGAAGTTTATTTTTTCTGGCCATGCCAGCCTCCCTCTGTGCAACAAATAGAAGCAACATTCTAGATGGAACCCAGGAAGCCTGGTACAGGCTAGCACTCAAAGAGTTCATGTGGAAATGAACTCATCTTCCATGTACCATGATTTGATTTCTGTTTGGGCAAAAGGAAAGGGACTTCGAAAAGCTACATAGGCTAATAACAAGTAGAACATGATCCCACATGTTCTTTCTCCAGGGAAGGGGTTAGGTGCAGCTTGAATTGCTCAATCCCTGGCAGCTCTGATGGGTGCTGGGGGAAACCCCACGCTTTGGCTGCCTCTCCTTTTCTGCAGATGGAAGTGAGCTCATTGGCAGCTATACACCGAGAGGGAGAAAGGCTTCGGAACTCTTTTAGAGCTGCTTAGCAAGGAGAGTTACTGCTAAAGACTGAGGATGACTTTTTTCTGTCTTACAAATGTGCAGTTTGCTAACTGCACTTGGCCCTGCCCTGTTAAATTAGCCTTCCACTCTCGGTAGCTTTTTGGAAGCATTTCTAGTGCTCTGCTTCGCTGCTCCTTGGCAGGCAGTTTAGCAGAACACTTGGGTAGCAAGTGCCAAGACAGAATACTGAGACTTAGAATTAAGTCTGCTCAGAGCTGCTTAGCTTCTGTGGACTGATGCTTTTATTTATCTACTTACTTAAAAAATTTTTTCTATAGTACGTTCCATTGTGGTGACAGACCCAGAGCAATTATGGATAAGTGACTGTACTGCTTATTTAGTTATATCCTACAGTTCTCTTTTTACTTGGTTCTAGATCCCTAGTGACTTCAAGTAGCTCACAGCTTCTCATTTCTATGCATATCTGTGTTCCTTCCTCTTTAGCCAGACTTAACAAGATTTAAAGGGTCCCACAGACTCATATTCAGGAAGATTACTATTTTTGGCTAGAGAGATTCTGAATGCAAAGTGGCCTTGGTGACCTGGGGCTGTGAGGTCATTTTGATGAAGTTCGTGAATGCCCATGTCATTGATAGTCCTTGGGTCTTAGTGTGTCCCCTGCCCTCCCTTGACTTATATGCTACAAAGAGAGGCAGTATAAATCTGTTTCATTGTAAGACCGTAACTAGACATTTCTGCTGATTTCTCCTCTTTTTTTCTTTATTTCAGAATATTATGGGAGTACAAACGCTTTGGTCACATAAATTGCACTGCCCGTGTCAAAGCTACAAGTGTGCCCATCCCCCAGACAGTGTGCACCACACTGTTAGGTATAAATTTGCCCATCCCCTCCTTCCCCTTCCCATCTGCCCAATCCCCAGTGAATGTTACTTCCATATATGCACATAAGTGTTTATCAGTTAGTACCAATTTAATGATCAGTACATGTGGTGTGTTTCCATTCTTGTGATACTTCACTTGGTTAAGAAACTTGTAGGGAACATTTTTGGTAACCGATTAGAGTGGGCAGCTTTCAAAGTGTCAGAACCACTGAGTCAAAATACGTTCAGATGTTGGTCTATAAGGTATGGTTCTAGACGTATTACTGCAGGATTAACAGAACTTCTTGGGGCATTTGCTTCAATTGGCTTTGACTTTTTGTAGGATGCTGCTCTTTACTAAAATCAGGGAGAAGAGGATATTGGGAAAATGTCCTTTCTACCTTCAGTGTGCTTTGGTTTCAATGTGGAGATGCAAGGATGGAATGTGAGTGAGCTAAAAGAGTGAAATAATTTTAAAAAACCACATTCATTCAGCAAATATTTATTGAATGCCTCCTTGGGGCCAGATGTTGGAGATACAGTAGTGAACAAAACATAATCCCCGCTCTCTGGGGCATATGTTCTATTAAGGGAAGAGGAAAAACAAACTTGCAAATATGTTTCTGGTGGTGACAAGTGCTATGCAAAAATAAATAAATGGAGGAAGGAAAATAAGAAAGAAAAAAAGGAAGGAAGGACGGACAGATGGATGGACTAGCAAAACAAGCAAGCAGAGAAGGGGGCTAGGGAAAGCTGGGGGCGCTATTCTGTGAAGTGTGGTCAGGAAAGGCCTTTCCCATAAGGGGGCATTTGAGCAGATGTGAAGGAAGGAGGGGAGGGTCCTGTGGCTCTCAGCTGGAGAAGGAGTGGGCAGAGGGCACCGTGAGGATGGAATTGGCTTCTCCTTGCAGCCCTTCCCTGAAGGTATATCTTGCTACCCTCACTGATTCTGATTTATCCGTTGGATATTATCATTTTTACTGTAGTTTTATGAAGTAGCTACTATTAAATGAGAATTATGCATAGAATATACTTTATGAAAGCATTTTTTGTTATTCTTGGTAAGCACCAAATTCATCATATTTCTATTATGTGGAAGTCTGCTTTTTTCCAAAGCCATAGAAAAGACTCCAACCTACCAAACTCTTTATTGCTTCTGAGGTATTTGTAGGCACAGAAAGCTATTCCTTGGGGGATGAGAATGCTTACATAAATGTGGAGTTGTTTTACTGTCCCTGCAATTCAGATCACTAGAGAGTATTCGTCTGAAATAAAAGCAGGTTTGCTTGGGAATAGATTTGAATCAGTGATATAACTTGAAGTTATGCCAGCAACCCCATTCTCTCACAGTATATGATGTGCTGGAGGGAAAAGTTGGTATAGGAGGAGGCAAAGGAATGCATTGACTTCGCACTAGCCAAATCTGGAAGCAAGCCAGCACCCGTCTTGAAACCATATAGTCAGTCTGGGTTGTCAATCACTATCTGCCAGCTCAGAGCCGCTTGATTGAGATCTTTGGGGTTGGCATGCTGGAATAAACTGTAGTGAAGCAGACAAGGTTAAGAATATACTAAATTAATAAAATATTTTAATGTTTCTAAACCAAAGTTATTTTGGAATCATGGAAAATATTCATAGCGACCATCCACTCTTCAAAGATTACTCCCAGTGGAGTCTGATTTTCCCAGGGTGCCTTTGTAATGCCCTTTGTAAGCTATTTTTTTTTGTAAATTCTGAGAGTTTCTTTTGGTTAAAGGATATTGTTTTATGAGTTTTCTGTGTATATTTACATATGTGTATGTGTGAATAAATAAATACGTATTTTTTCCCGGAACTGTTTCTATGGAGGCCCAAAACATTTTTAAGGCAAGAATTAAGAAACATCAGAAATCAAATGAGAGATAATTTACTAAAAACCAGAGTTGATATCTCATGTCACTTTAAGGGGACACCCTCCTTGGTTCTCCCTCCCACCCCTCCCCACCCCAGGCTGAGGGAGGTGCCCTTCCTCTGAGCTCCCAGGGTATCGTATGTATGCCTCTATCATAGTAGTAGCTACCTGCTAATTCAGTATTTTTCCATGGGTTTCTGGAAGGCTGACATTTGTACTTGGACTTAAAATCACCAGCAGGGCCGGGTGCAGTGGCTCACGCCTGTAATCCTAGCACTCTGGGAGGCCGAGGCGGGCGGATTGTTTGAGCTTAGGAGTTCGAGACCAGCCTGAGCAAGAGTGAGACCCCGTCTCTACTAAAAATAGAAAGAAATTAATCGGACAACTAAAAATATATAGAAAAAAATTAGCTGGGCACGGTGGCGCATGCCTGTAGTCCCAGCTACTCAGAAGGCTGAGGCAGTAGGATCACTTGAGCCCAGGCGTTTGAGGTTGCTGTGAGCTAGGCTAACGCCACGGCACTCACTCTAGCCAGGGCAACAGAGTGAGACTCTGTCTCAAAAAATCACCAGCAGTCTGCATGGTGCCTGACGTGCAATAGAGGTTCCATTTATGTTTACTGAATCAATAGACGAATGAATGAGTTGTTAACATTTATGT